GAGGATGACAGCATCTGCAAGGAAAACCCTGCCCAGCTCTGAGAGCCCAGAGGACATCAACACAAGTGACTCACTTTCTTCCTGCTTCGTGATGGGACTGTGGTAGATCTGAAAAAGGGAGAGGGAGTGGGGGAGGGAGAAATAAAAACATTATCAGCACAATTTGGTATTTATTTCTGGAAGAAAATGCAGCACCCCATAAATCACCCATAAAACACCCCTAGATCACCTACAAATCACCCACAGAGCACCCAGAGCCAATCACAGCCACAATGTCCCACAGAAATGTCATTTTACAGTTTAGCAGGATATGCACAATGTAGGAGTTCCTGTTGCCTCCCAGCATTTCCCTGGGCACCTGCTGCTAGGGAAAAAAAATCCCTGTTCTGTAGGCAAACTGCAAGGGTTGGTGCTTTGCTCAGACTGAAGGAAGGAAACACCAGTAGGCATAGGAAGGTGCAGGGTGGGCAATCCCACCTTTCCCAGCGCTGCTCAGAGCAGGGGCAGGCAACATATCACCTCCTGCAGGGAGTGAGCAACAGGAATAGGAGCATCCCAGCCTTGGAAAAGTGAGCTGGCACAGCCAGGGAACATCCCAAGAATTGAGGGGGAAATTAAAGCCCTTGGTTAGGAGCTGCAGTGACAGGACAAGGGGCAATGGGCACAAATTGAAGGAGGGAAATTTAGGTTAGATGTGAGGCAAAAGTTTTCCCTGTGAGGCTGGTGAGACACTGGCCCAGGTTGCCCAGGGAGGCTGTGGCTGCCCCAACCCTGGCAGTGTTCACAGCCAGGTTGGCTGAGCCTTGAGCAACCTGCTCTGGTGGGAGGTGTCCCTGCCCAGGGCAGGGGTTGGGGCTGGATGGTCTCTGAGCTCCATCCCAAGCCCTATAATTCCACGGTTCTGTGAAGCCCAGAGTCCCCGGTGGGGGCTGTGCTGGGGGAGCAGCAGGGAGCTGCCCTGGTCCCTACTGATGGGCAGGGAGCAGCATCCCAGGGCTGTGTCCCCGTGTCCCACGGAGGCGCCGGCAGAGGACACTGCTGGGCAGCACATTGCCGCTGGGAGCAGCGCCAGGAGCACTCACCGGCTCCTTCCCGTCCATGGCCTCCATCCACAGCCTCCGGTTGGCCTCCGACAGCGCCTGCAGCGTGATAGTCCCGGACCTGGAGGGTCCCCAGGGACAGGCAGGGGAAGGAACAGAGGTTGGTTTTAACAGATAGCAAAGCGGGATTTGATCCAGGGCCGCAGGTTTGGGGCCACCTGGACACAGACCCTCTCACCTTTCATTTGTTTCAATGTCAAAACAAAACCTCTTGTCTATGGAGTCAGTCTTTCTTCTTACACAGGATTTCAGGGTCAAGTCCAAGGTGCCCTAGGGACAACACAAAAACCAAGGTGAGAAGAAACACAGGAGAAGATTTTGGGCTGCTCAGCACCGTTAGGATACAGCCCAGCATGGCCCACAGATGTCCTGACAGTCTGAGGGTGTTGGCACCAGGAGCACACACAGTCCTCCCACCACCCACAGACCAGAGGCTCTGTGCTCCAGGCTTCCTCTCCTCAGCCACAGAATGTTCCAGACTTCATGGCATTATGCCACAAAGCAGCACTGAATATCTCAGCCATGAACACTGCACCCACAGAATGCTGCTCCAGCAGACCTGGCCAGGCAGTGCCAGGGCCACACTCACCTGTGATCCAACACAGCTGGGCCCTGGTTTCAGTCAGGGCTGATCATCAGTACCACTTGCCCACAGCATAAACAGCTTTACACAAACCCCACGTGGGACAGGGACATTCCTGAGCCCACCTAGAGCAGGTGTGCTCTGGAGAGGTGTCACTGTGGGGCTCAGCTCCAGCCCTGGGGCTCACACTCAGTGCAGAGTCAACTCACAATCTGCCTGTGAAGGTGTGCGGCCAGCTGTGACCCAAGGGTGCAGGTCACCAGACTGCCAGAGCTTGGGCATGGCACTCATCTGCATTTTCCAAGCCCTTACCTGCAGTAATTGGCCTTACTAGACACATACATGGCAGAGGTGACAACAGACCTTTCCAGACAATAGTCTGGACATTTCCTTGCCCAGGTCTCTGCTGAGGGCTTGCAAAACATCCCTTTGCTTGTGCTGCCAAGACATCAACTCACTTGCTTGGCTCCAGGTTTCTGGTCTGTGGGCGTCATTCGTAAGGTTTTGGCCTCTTTTTCATACTGGCAGTAATACTTCACCCAGGAGATGCCCAGAGCCCCTGCAAACACAGGAGAGGCAGGAGTCAGGGTCAAGCCTGGAGCTGGATGCAGCTGGCAAGGCATCGACAGCAGTTCCCACAGGTCCTCCCTGCCCTGGGGATAGACACCAACAGCCCCACGAGGACACAGCCCTCTCCCGTGTCTCCATGGGCAAGAGCCAGGAGGAGCAGGAGGAGAGGAGTAGAAGGAGGAGAGGAGCAGGAGGAGAAGAGGAGAGCAGAGGAGAAGAAGGAAAGAAGAGAAGGAGCAGGGGAGGAGAGGAGCAGGAGGAGAGAAGAGGAGCAGGAGGAGGAGATGAGCAGGAGGAGAGGAGGAGGAGAAGAGCAGCAGGAGGAGGAGATGAGCAGGAGGAGAGGAGGAGGAGAAGAGCAGCAGGAGGAGGAGAGGAGGAGAAGAGGAGCAGGAGGAGGAGGAGGAGAGGAGAAGAGGAGCAAGAGGAGGAGAGGAGGAGGAGAAAAGCAGCAGGAGGAGGAGAGGAGGAGAAGAGGAGGAGGAGGAGGAGGAGAGGAGGAGGAGGGGAGCGCAGGGCAGCCGCCTCCAGTGCCCTCCCAAGGCGCTGCTGGTGAAAGGGCATTTGTGGGCCTCTGGCTGCAAGCCAAGCTGATTTGGCCAGGCCCAGCCAAGATCTACACTGGCAGGATCCTATGTGTCCTGAATGCTTGTTTCACACACCCCACTACTTTCTCCTGTTGGTGGAAACTCAGCAGCTTTAAAATACTCTGAAGTTCCTGTTCCTCTCACACAGGACTTATTGTCACTTTTCTCTTTTGTCTTACCTGAACCCCTTTATGTGAAATACTTCAACTGGTATTTTTTCTGCAATTTGCTTTTAAGTTGCAGCTGTCAGGAGGAACAACTCTTCATGCTTCATTTATAGAGAAACATAAATAGAGGAAGCAAACAGCCACTGGCTGCACTTTGGGGCTAAAATTACTGTGTGTGTTTTCTTCTAAAAGCAGGATAAACACACAAACAAATACATGTATAAATAGACTTGCATATGTAATTAAGAAGGAACTGCTCACAAAGCTGTCTGTACCCTCAGAGGCCACAGCTCTGCATACAGGCTCCGCCTGCTGCACAGCCACAGGGAGCTGCAGCCAGGGATTGGAAAAGGCTGTTTGGTTTGATTTGATTCTGCTCAGAACCACAAGTTTTGCTCTCAGCAGCTTAACCCAGCACCAGTTCCCACCTCAGCTGTGCTCAGAGGCTGTGAGAGGGAGGCTGGGCAGGACACCAGATTCCTTGTGACCAAACACAGCCAAGGCACAGTGTGCCAGAGCTCTGGAGTCATAAATCCCATCCCCTCGGAGCATGGGGCAATTAGCCCCACGCTGACATGCCTCATGTCACCCTGACAAGCTCTGTGCCACTGCTGGCAAAGCTGCCAGCTAGAGTTCTGGTGCTTCCCTGGGCTCCCTGTGCCCTGGCACCAGTGACAACCTGTGGCCCCTGGGCTCACAGCAGAGCTGTGCCACATCACCCCAGGCCTGCACACTCCCTAACACATCCAATGCATCCCAAAGCCATTACATTTCTCCTGGGTGTACAGGTAGCCCTCGATGGTTGGCTGCCCAGGGAGCTTGCAGGTTAGAGGTGCTTCCTTCATCCTCTTCTTCAGGTCTTCCAGCTCCTCCCGTGTGCTGGAAAAGTGATTCCTTGTCTGGCAGGTGAAAACAAACAGAAGCACATTTGAACAGGAGCCCAGAATGATAAACTTGAGGTGCTCTGGAAGAAATAAATCAGTCCTCAAGGTACAAAAGGTGGGGGATGTGTGTCCTGCCAGGGCTGCAGGGAAAGGATAGAGGGAATGGCCTTGAGCTGAGCCAGGGCAGAGTCAGATTGGATGTGAGGAGAAATGTTTTCCCTGTTGGGGTGTTCAGGCACTGGGAAATTGCCCAGGGAGATGGTGGAGTCACCATCCCTGGAGGTGTTGAAGAGGTGCCTGGATGTGGCACTGGAGGATCTGGTATAGGGTTTAGGGGTTCCAGCAGTGACAGGTTCATGCTTGGACTCAATAATCTTAGAGGTCTCCTCCAGCCTTGATGGCTCTATGATCCCAAAACACAGAAGACACTCCACAAATCCACAAACTCTGCTTATAAACACTGGGCTCTTCGAGGTGACGGAAGAGACAAGGTCAGACACACTGTGCATGGAGATGGTGCTGAGAAGGCACTGCTGGGAAGCCTCTTGTTCCCTCAGTGTAAGCACCTCAGCACATTGCAGGGCAGGGTGGAGCAGAGGCAGCACCTGAGCTCCTCTCTCACCACTGCTCAGGTAACAGGTGCATTCTTCTCCCAAAGGTGCTGATTCCTGTGAGGATCTCCACATCAGCATGGGGAGAAACAAGGAGGCATCTCACGGAACACCTCTTGGACCCATTCATGATCCGGCAACAAACCCAGCCCAGCTCAGATTTATGGCTGCTGTTCCATGGGAACAGGAAAGGCTGAGGACAGAGGAAAAGGACCTGGATGCTCTGCCCCAGTAGCACACTTGCCCAGCAGAGGAGCTGCACACAGTAAGCCTGTAGTAAGCCAGTACCACTAAGATCAAGGTCAGAGACCTTTTTGGAGTACAATCTTGTGGAACTGGAAGGAAACCTCAGGCTTGTTTGTGCAGCAGGTTAAATGATGAGACTGCAACAGCTCTTCCAGACAGGGAAAAAACACTAACAGACCTGTGGACTCTCTGGTGAGAGAGGGGAAATCCACGGGAACTGAGAAGGAAACAACAGTGTTTGCACCTCCCACAGTGCAAACATGGCCAGGCTGTTAGGGTGGGAAGGCCTTGCCTTTTGAGACATGCAAATGCACATGAGAACAGAAGTCACGGGGAAAAGTCCTTCAGCTGGGCAAGGACTCACGTTCTGCAGGCTGAGCTGGAGCTGCTGCTTGTACGGGAGGAAATCCTGCGTCAGCTCCACTGTCAGGTTGTTGTAGGTGAAGAGGCTGTGGAGGAACGCCAGGACCTGCAGCGCAGGGACAGGACACACCAAACTGCTGCGTTTCTCACGGCAGGAGGGTGGGCAGGCAGTGGGTTCAGAAATTACACATACCATCCTGTTTTCCTTACGGCTCTGGAGTGAGGTCAGCTCCGGTATCCAGCACAGTGCCCCTACAGCCCAGAGCCACCACCCAGGGCAGGTCCCTGCACTCAGCCCAGGCTGTGAGGGGTGAAAGGAGCAGGAAACACCTCTGTGCCTCCACAGACAGCCAGTGCCTACCGAACCCTCGGGGCCAAAACCCTCTCTTTACACCCAGTGTCCAGCCTGTTCCTCAGGGTCCACTGACAGGCAAGGGAAACAGGGCTGGGGCTCTATGGGGCTCCACCACACACCACTGAGCTTGTCAAGCTGCAGCAACCCGAGGGTACCAGGCTAACTGCTGCCCCCCAGGACCGAATCTGACCCGGCAGCTCAGCGTGTCAGCACATCTGAGCAGCAGCCAGGGAGGCTGAGGGAAGGGGAAGCTCATACCGGCTCCACAATACTGAATTTCTTGCTTTCTTGTACTTCCTGGATCTGGTACACATACTCGAGGGAGGACTCGAAGAAGTTGTGTCTCTCTTTGTCCACCTGAAGGTCAGCCTGGAGGAGAGGGGGAGAGGTGGCAGAAGAAAACACATCACACGTGGTTTGGCACTATTTGACTCACTTTTTCTGTCAGCTGACAGACAGCTCTGTCCTCTCTTCAGAACTGCCTGCCAGGTGTGCAGCCCAGGCCTGAGCCAGAACACTGGGTATGGGACACATGGCAATGCATGAAGCCACTACCAGTGCCCATCACGTGTGGCAGAACTCAGCTTGGCCTCCCTGGTCTCACCCAAAGAATCCAGGCCTTGGGTAGACTTAACTGATTATCAGTTTCCACTGGTCACTGGAAGGGATGATTTCTCCCCCATTTTTAAGGTCTAGAGCAGCTGGTGATGTTGCTCCTGGACTCAACTCTGAAGAAAATTCCATACACACCTCCTGTAACTGGGACTCCTTCTTTTTGGAAGACAAGTGCAAGTGGCGATCCAGCATGGAGTAAAACTTCTCCCCATCCTTCTCAAACTTCTTCTTTCTTTCCTGCAGATGCAAGAGGTGAAGCATTATGAGTTATTGGCATTTTCCAGGCAAGAACACGCACCAGCACCAAGATCCTTTGTGCAGTTCTGTATTCCATGGACAAATTCTGGCCAACCCAGCCAGAACAGGAGGTCACTTCCCATTTGCTCTGCCTTCACAGCCTGTTGCTACTCTGGATGCTGCCACACCTCAAGGCTCAGCTCTGGCAATACTTGTGGCACATTTTGTCATGTCAGCATGTGGCAAAAGCCTCACTGATGAGTTCCCCCTCTCAAACTCCTCAATGTCAAGTCAACCTGAGACATACTAATACATCAAAACCCTTCCACCATCAGCTGCTGTGCTGTTCACACAGCTCAGAAACAGCAGGGCAACCCCTGCAATGCCAGAGACACATCAGGGTGAAGGAAAGAGTCATTAGAGCTTGGCTGTTTTCTGCTCTGAGGCTTTTAGCGTCTGTTTCTGAAGAGTAGCAGCAGGAAAGCAGAAGCCTGGCAGGGCTACACGTGGGTGGGAAGTCCTCACCTCCCAGTCAGCAGTGGTGCAAAGAGAGCACAGAGACCAAACACAGACACTTGAGAATGAAGCCTGAGGGCAGACAAGGAGCAGCAGAGCTCAGGGCCAGGCTCTTGGCTCCTGGGAAACTGTCAGTCAGGGAACAACCCTGAGTAGAGGCCAAGTTGACAAATGCACACATCAGGAGGTAACTGAGCCATCAGGGATTGCTGGGAGGGAAGTAAATTGCTAAACCCAGGAAATTCCAGCCTGGCAGCAGCCTCTGTACCAGGTCCAAGCAGCTGAGCACTGGTGCCACAAACTGCAGGGTATGTATGGGACACCCAAATCCTCTGTCTGGCTTTTGAAAGCTAAAGAAGGTGGAAAGCAGAGTTAGGAAGTCCCATTTTCCTGGGGAATTCATGGGATCTTTCAACCCCTATGTCCTGAAAGCCCTTGAAATGCTCTTCTCCTGCCCCCACTCAGAAATCCATGGATAAGCAGGCACACACCAGTGCCACCACAAACCAGAGCAGATGGACTCTGCCAGACTGGTGGGTATTAGGGATGTTCCTCATGAACTCCACAGTGCCCACACAGTTTGCAGCTGCATTTCCTAAATCGAGTCTCTGGCTCTAGTTGGTTCCCCTGCCATGAAGTTTTGCTTCCCCATTCCACTTGCACAGACCACTCCTTCTGTCTGTCGGGATGTCCTACAGGACAGGACGCCTGGAGG